CCAACCTCCCTCAGCTCCTAGGTGTCCCCCAGTCCCACTCACTCTGTCCCACTCGGAGAAGCACCTTCATGCCTCTGGTTAGGCACACACCTCCCTGCAAGCTCTCCAGGCCTTCCCGAGTCCCATCTGATGTGGCTGGGAGAGAAAAGCCAGAGGGAAGAGTTGGCACTCCCAAGCCTACTCCCTATTCTGGTCCCACACCCTGGCATGAACACCACCCGAGGGCACAGGGGTCTCCCTCTTGGCTTCAGTGGTCCCCCTCCCTTGTTTGCCCTAAGTCTCAGGAGAAGCTCCCCACAGCTCCCCACTCAACCCTGCCCTCTGCCCAGCAGTACCAATTATGTAGTAATCATGGTGCGAACGGAACTCATGGCCCCAGAGGTTAGGGCTATACTCCTGGAACTTGATGGTGAAGCGGAGGTCCAGGTCTGGCCGATCACAAGTGAGAAGGAGATTTGGGGCAGGGGGCGCCTCACAGCGCCGGCCCTGGGCACCCCCTACCAGGTACAACTTGTAGAACTCATAATTGGGAGAGGAGTGGGGGCCAGGAGGCCGAGCCCGGGGGCAGAGTAGGTCTAGCCGGTCCCCAATCTGAGGGTAGAGCACGTAACCACCCTCTGCCTGGAACCTATGGAGAGGAGGGTGAAGAGAACAAGGAAGAGATGTCAGAGGTCTGGTCCCCAGATCTTTCCCTCCCTCACCCACAACCCTCCAGGATAGTAATTCTCAGCTCATGCCTGCCTGCCTTTGTCTGAGAGGAAAGTCTGTTCTTATAGAGCAGGCACCAAGGACTCTGCACGCTTACACTGGAAGCAGCAGGAAGCCAGGCTCAGAGGTCTCCTGCCCCTTGGTGTGCCCAAATGCACTCTTCAGCCCGCCCTCACCACATGCACACTGCCATCTCCCGCTCCATCACCAGCCCCGTTGCCATGGCAACAGGATGCCAGTTACCAAGGAGCTGGCCTCTCTGGAACCACACAGCCCACCCCTCCCAGGTGATTTCACTATTCCATGGCAGTCAACCATGGGGCAGAGCCTCGCCTCCACCAGGCCACCACTGAATTTCAGGGCAAAGGGGGCGGGACAGGGTGAAGGATAGGGCGTGGCAGGTGATCCAGACCACTGTCTCAAGTTAGCCAGATAGCAGGATAGGAGGCAAATACCTGGTTTGGCAATGACCCTAAATGGGAGTAACGGGAAGCAGGGTCTGGAAGCTTGCTGCCTGGGTCATTCCCTTACTCAGTCCCCCCATTCTGAGTCTTAGACTTCCTGAGGAAAGTGTTCTATTGCTTTGGAATTAAAGGAGTTGACTTTTTTAGCCACACCTCCTTATCTCCTGGGCCAGTGGGCCCGGGCATCCACAAGCCCAGCACAACTTGCCAACCACTGCTGCCCCTCCCTGGACACTGACAGTTGAGATAGGGTTCCAGGACAAGGTCTTAAGGGACTGCTGCTTGGTATCTTCCCAGACTCCAAAGTGAGTCCCTCCCACCCAACAACTAGAAGAGCTCCCCCCAGGACACCCTAACTCCCTTTTCTAGGCCCTATTAAAATAAGCCTAACTTACGTCCTCAAGCTACACACCTGATATTCAAATTGCAGCCAGTAATTGGTGGGTGGGAGAATGAGTACAGAAAAGATATTGAAATTATACCCAAAGAGACATGAGAGGGAGGGATGGCAGGACGGGAAAGTGTGAAGGAGGCTGAGAAGTAAAGAGAGGAAGAACAATAACCCTAGCTATCCTTTAATGAGTGTAGTAATCTGTTTGAACACCTTACCTCTAATCCTCATAATAGCTGTAAAGATTGAGGATACAAACTTAAAAAGGTTGTGACATGTCCAAGTTCTCACAGCTAAAAGCAGCAGAGCCAAGATTAAGACCAAGGATTCGATCAGCTCCAGAGCCCATCCCCTACCCATGGCCTCACACAGCCTCCCCAGGGAAGCAGGAATTTTGCAAAACACAGAACTCTTTTGCTAGTGGGAAGTGGGATCTGCATGCAAGCAAGGGTCCCAGATGACCTCCCAAAGGTTCTGTCCTACCCTATGTGGCTTGAAGTTTCATCTGACCCCTGGCCTCTTTTTCAGAGCAAAGCAAGCATGCCACGGAACAGAGGGTCTGATGGAAGAGTTTGCAGCAAAGATGGGGCGGGGGGAGGGCAATGGAATCCTCAAGACTCCAGATGCAAGAGTAAAGAAGGCTTTAGGGACTCAAGACTTCTTCCAGAAAGAAGTCTCCCAGTCAGGAAGGCAGGAATTTCTGGTTGTGAACTCGTCCAGCCAATGGTTCACCAACCCTCTGGCAGCGGGCAAGAGTTGGGAGACAGGCTGTGAAGACAGTCAAGGAATCTTGGGGAAGTTGTCCCTAGAGTCCCCAAACTGAGCCCCCTTGCCTCCCATCTCCAACACTGAGTCCCTTTTGGAGAGAGAGGCACCCTGCCCTTCCCCTCAACAGCACCTACTCAGCAGCTCTCTCCTGAGAGCTGACATTAACCAGGCTCCCTCCAAGCCCAGCCCCCGACACAGGTCTCCCAGAGATCCAAATAACCACTTCACTGCCCTCCCCGCTTGCTACCCATGAACTTTCTTATACTTTCCCCTCTGGGGTCTCCAAACTCCTGACACATCGCTATCACCACCCACATCCAGCTCTGTGTGGGACCCGGGAGTCTGGCTTCCCGGGTAGTAACCCATCACCTCACATTAGGACACCAACACCTTCCCTCCAGCCTCCTCCCTGCCCAGAGAACCCAGCCCCCAAGTCCCCAAGGCTTCCATACCCTCTGCCCTGAGGTCTGGGGTCTCCCCATCCCCAGGCCGCTCACCTCTTATTCGCCGAGTTCCAGTAGACAGGCTCCAGGCTGAGCCCAGACACCAGCCCCAAAAACCCCAGCAGCAGCAGCAGGGCCCCGAATCGCATGCCCCCCGGCCCAGGTTGGGGGGCCCCCATGACCCCGCCAAGGCCTGGGGGGCGGGGCACCAACTCCCCCAAAGTCGCTCACCCCTGGTGGGGGGACTGTCTTGGCTGTCTGGCTATTCAGCCACGACCACCCCGGTGGCTGATGCCCCCAGCTCCCACGCGGACCTGCTTCCTGCTCTGCCCGCGCCCCCGCTGCAGAGCGCTGAGCCACACCAGAGCCCTTCCAGGGGCCGTCTACAGGCGCCCTACGCCCCCCCGGCCCACGCGCCAGCACCCCGGGATTTGTGAGCCCGCCTAAGTGGGGGAGTGGGGGAGCCGG